CTAGTTGGGGAATTTACCTGCGTTGTTCCGCGAACCTCCTTTCCAATGTCTAGATGCCCATATCTTCCTAATTCTTCTGTCTCCAACACGAGGCACCGGCCTAGTCACACGAGGGCGAATGTACCCAGAGAATTTTTCATCATCATCATCTCTACCATATAAATTTACATCATCCCGAGAACCATGGGGACTACCGTTCCCGCATGCTCTCACCTCAGTACTACTGTTACTACCTATACTAACTACAACATCAGGTTTTACTTCATCATTCACACCCGGTTTAAGATCCTTACTAAAGTTTCTGACTTCAAAAGAATCGATACAACCCAATTTACTAAAACCCTCCACCTCATTCTCTACTTTGCCATTAGGATTTGTTATCACGGAGCTGAATCCACACTGCACATCAACACAGGGGCTCAAGGATCCCTGATAAGGATTGTCTTGAGAGAAAGGTACTGACTTTACGGGGTTTCCTTCATCCAGAACTTCCTTCTTTACAGTATTCTGTACAGCTACACAGTTATCTTGACCTGCATTTACCGAACTTTCGGTCTCTAGCAGCAAGTTTCCAGCTACGGTGGCCAATAAGTCAATCGCGCACATTTTCTCATCTTCTGATATAAGCTTCTCGTAAATGCGCCTCTTCTGGCAAAAAGCGAAGGAATGCAAGTTATCATGTAAACGGATCATCCATGAAACCAAGAAACCAGAAACCGAGAAATAGCAAAGCCATTTACCCTGACTGATCTCGGAGCTCGTGCCTTAGCAGGCAATTGGTAGCCATCGTCTCCAAATTCTAAGACTTTATGCGACACCATTACTTGGATGCATACCACGATGATGTGATTGCCACACGCGAGAAGCAATTGTGAAGGAATCGATGAATATTCGCGACCTGTAGACTGGAAACAAAAGCCATAAGACTCAATTCACACCAATCACCGACAACTCGGAATATGAAACAACAGATCGGTAAGATCTGAGAAAATTTTGGGTCTTGGGGTTGCATCAGAAACAAAACAGAGAGAATGGTTTCCAAATCAACCCAGATAAGCTGTGACGAGAAAAATCTTAAACCATCCTAAAACCCTAATGATCACAAGATCAGAATCGAGATCGCATAGTTAAACCTGAAGAAGAGCAGAGAATTTGTGGAAAAGAAGAGAGACTTCAAATTCTCAGACCGGGTTCACAGATCGATGAGCAGAATTTTGGTTTGTGTAACAAAACGACAAATATCGATGAAAGATGACGATAAGTTTCAAAAGATAACGAAAACCCCTTTAAGATCCACAACAAAAGAACATGAAAATTATGATTTTTAAGACCGGAAATTCAAATGAAAACGAAAGTTTTTTTTTTCCAGCGATCAAACAAAAAAAAACACAAACTTTCGACAAAATCGAGAAGACAAAAAAAAAAATTCAAACTTTTCTCACCTTTTTCTATGAATCTTCAGTTTCCAGACGATTAAACTGCAAATAAATTTCTTGACGAATTCTCCAGAAAATGAGAGATCGGAGACAAAGTATTCACAAAACGCAAACAAAGGAATCAGAATTCTTTACGCACTCAACACCCAAATTTTTTATCTAACCCATGTTTTTCCCAAGAAAGTGACGGAAAATTTTTACTTGTTTCAAACGCTACCCATAAAGGATTTTCTCTCACCACCAAAAGGATAATCAAATCGAAAAAAAAAAATACGAAAACCCTTCAATTCATAGAAGAAATCACAACGC